ATGTCTTTCTAAAATGGCAGTATTTTAATAAATTTTTAACACTTCCCTTAATTTTGTGCTTTCCTAGTGAAAGCACACTGCCGCTGGATCAGTCACAATTTTATTTGAAAATTTAACAGTTTTGGCTCTGATTGTCTAGTGAATAAACACGTGCGATACACTGGGTCTCCCTGAAAGTCTGTCGTTATCAAATATATTGTCTCTCAGTATGTACTATTTCAGTGACAAGAATCCTCTTCCAAGGACACGGAGTGCAAAATGCTATGGGGTCACGGAATAAGAAGAGAGAACAGTTTCAAAGTTAAAAATTACCTAAGACGAATCCTTGGTTTTGTCACTTGCATTTCTTGTACACAATTTTCTGGGTAAGGGGACAGTATTTTTTGTCTCCAAGTATTCCTCAAATGTCCATCTGTCTTCAAATGTTTAATTTGCAAATACAGAATACAGAGCAGGGGGGACGGGGGCAAATCCTCCTTAGGAAGCAAGCTTTAGGGAAACTAAGCTAGCAGTTGCTGTGAGTGTCAGTGCTGCTGCTGGCTCAGTATCCATGGAAACTTGATTTCCCATCTTGCTGCAGGAATTAATTGAAGATCCCAATCCACTTGCTCGGGGAATCACTGTGATATTAACCCACATCCTGCTATAAAGCTCACTTTAATATCTCAGATACTCTTTTCATCAGAACAAAAGGTTCAATTAGCTTTCACCAACTTAAAAGAAAGTAAAAAGGCCATCTAAGTCTTTACTGCCTCAAAACCAGGGCAGAGAACATAGACCTACATCTAGAGTTACATCTTGGAGATCTACATCTTTCAAATGGAACTTGCCAAAAACATCAGCAAGAGAGGGCACAGAGTCAGGAATGCTCTATGCAAATCTCATGTCCAACATCATACAGTTACCTCTATGTTTCACCTACGCCAGTAGCTGTATTAGTATTATCTTGTGGGGAAAATTCACTGTCCATACTTCAGTATCAGACCATAACTTTGTCTTCCACAGAACGTTCTTAAGATATACTGTGCAAAGCTTCAAAGAGAATAAGCCAAAAGGGACTTTTGCTGGGGAACATTGTTTCCAGACTTCTCTTTGAAGACCTTTCATTAATTACAAACATAAGCATGTCACCTTCCCTCAAGGTCTGCTTCTGGATCAAACATCTCTGATTATCTACTTTTGAACTTTCTTTCCTCTAATTTCCTGTTGAATTCCCTAGTTGCTGCCACCATTCCCTTTATTTTTTCCTGATCCCCAAATCATCTTATCTGCTCTACAACCTTATTTTCTCCATTTTCATCTTTCGGATGCTTTGTATTTAGCACCTGGTCCTTCTGTAACCATGACAACTACATCACAATATCAGCAAAGGATCTCACTATTACCTGAGGAACCCAATCTCATCAAATGCCAGCTTGAACTGATGTTTAGTGTCCTGTACCCGGGGGACAAGTTTTGTTTTGAGTTTTATATATTTTATACGTAATCCAGGAAAGGCCAATTTCTTATGTTAACCTGTATCCTTCACACAATTGTCCTCCATCTTTTGTTTCCATTGTTGACACACTGACCCTCCCAAAAATGTGGACCACTGAAGGCATGTTACCACAGGAAAGATGGCGAGGATATTATCACAGACTGAGCACAGTCTTTGGATTAGATCAAAGAAGTTATGCTGTGTTGCTCTGTTACATCTCCAACACTGACAGTTTATAAGCAATTGGTCTCAAACCGTTAATTACAGGTGCTGTGAAAACTGCATACAATTTGTTACAGAACAGTTTTGGATTTCTGGACATAGCTGAACACTACTGCTTTCTCTGAATGGCAAATGCAGGCAGGGGAAAAGTGAAAGTAATATTTTGAACAGACTTGATGGTAACTCAAGACATATTAGATAAATAGGAGGATGAAGAAATACCACAGACCAGTGGAAGACCGCTGAAATGCAAGGACACCAGTATTCTTAAAGGAAATAATTTCCCCTTCTAGCTGGACTTACAAATTACATGTTGTGTTATATTGTTACTCACCACCAAGACTGAGAAATCCATCTGTGGTTAATCACAATAACAATTCTATGAAATGCTGCATTATGTAGAGTACAAATATGCAGCAGTGCATCAGTAGAGCACTACATGCACGCTGGACCAGGTCTGTAGTTCAGACCAGGCAATGTTGCTTCTAGAATTTTTGCCTTTTCCCGGTGAATAGAGAAGGGAGGGAAGAGCAGTAGTTGTTGTTGTCTTGGATTTTTTTATGCTTTATCACAGTATTTTCAGTTACCATGTATGCTATGAAACAAATCAGATACTTCAAGTGAAATCTAATAAACACATTAATTTTAGACATGTTGCAATAATGAATCCTACAAGCTAGCAATTATGGTGTTGCAGACTTGTGTCTTGGGGACAAACCTTCAGCTCTTGCAATGAAAACAGGTCAATTCACTTTTTCTTATTCCCAGACTAAGGAAGCCCAAGGAATTGATTTTTATAGAATACAAGAATTTGACAACACCTCCTCTTGTACTTGTTAAATAAGAGGAAACACAATGTGCCTATATTGAACTCACGCTGTTAACGTTCCCATGTGCACTCCCTTTTCACTTCGGTGGTACGTGACATTCAACTTCACTGGTACGTGACCAGGAGTTTTTTTGCGTTGCATTCGATAAACATTAAATCCTTTGACAAAAAAACATCACAGACATATTAACTACCTCATCTCCCACCCTACCTCTTCAGTAAGTTATTGTTCCTGAATATATTTTTTTCCTTTTATTTCTCAAGGTTGATCAGTGACAAAAATTTCAAACTAAAGCACAAAATGTGCTTCAAAGAAAATTTGAAGGCAAAATTTACTTCCAAGTATTGAAGGAGAAACCAATGCTTAAGTATACAGTAAGCTCAAATTCACAATCTTCCAATAGGAAAAGTCTCACAGTAGTTAGAAGAGTCATAGACTTACAGGATTTTCTTCATCTTGATTGTAAAAGCTGAGGAAAGGACTGTGATTGTAATAACACACAAACACATCACTAGAGGCAAGGTTCTCCTCCCATTTCATGACTGAAATAGCCCAAATCTGGACTGTATCCTTATCTTGATTTTGGATCTGCTTAAACTGCTCTATTATTGAATGCTAAGAATTTTTACTGGAAGCTGAGCAAGAACTTTAAAATCAGCATGACTGAAAACTCATTGCTGCTTCCTCATTAATATGCCAGAAGGACTGTCTGACATTTCTATGGAATGTCTGTGCTCTTGGGACTGATGATTCAGTGCAGAGCTGTTTGGAATTTCTACAAAAGTTCAGCCCTCCTCCCTTCTCAAATGGCTTAATTTTACCAATCTGTCAAGTAAAACTAAAAATAATGAGTTTGTGTGCAATTACAAGGGGAAGGATGGAAATTTCACTGCACAGTGTATTAGGTAACTCATTAGAAAGCAGAAGCTGCATTTTCAAAAGCAGTGTGAAATATATCTCCCATGTTTAATTATTTTTTTTTTCTGCAGTTAGATGCTAAAATTTTAAGGTGCATAGTAATACCCAAGCTAAAGGAGGATGCGATTAAGATTTCTGTGAGGTCAATTTGATGAAAAAGTGTTCCTTGCTTGTCAAGAGTTTCATGAAAGATAAGACAAAAACTGATTAGGGCTAGCAACTCAAATTCAGTGGTGATTTCCACTGGAGCCTGCTAGCCCAGGAGAAGAAGCAGCTTAGCCTCAAGAGCTGCCAATGATCCTAATAAACAGGTAAACCCGAAGTCCAAACCCAGTGCAGCTGCTCCTGTAATCATTTTGCACAAGTCAACTGCTATTGGAGCAAGTGGGGATATGAAATGTCATAGACATATACAAAGAGGAAAATAACCACATCATTTTTGCATATGCCCAGAAATATAGTCAAACACTTTCTATTTACAATATAAACATTTCAGGTTTCAACTGCTGAGTTTAGGAATGGCCTGACTCATTAGGAATGAGCTGACTAAAACAGAAGAAAATCTGCTTCCTTCACAAGGACATCAGAGAGTTGGAAGGATGGCAGCAGGGGTTGAACTAGATGATCTTTAAGGGTCCTTCCAACTCAATCCAATCTATGATTCTTTAATTCATTGCATTGGCAGGAAAAACTGAGAGCAAGGGGGTAAAAAGAGAAAGGCTCCACCTACGTAAGAGTCCACTTTGGGGAGGAAAAAAACTGCCAAGCTGAATTTCAAAGCCAAAAAGGATTTCAACTCAATCCAAAACAGAGACTCAAGTCCATTACTACTGTTATGAAGTTCCAGCTAGAGATCACAGTTCATCAGCTTCAGACTTATGTTATCCAAAACACCAAATATAAAGATGCCACTAGAACCCTGCTAGCTGACTTCCTCTCTTATCCCAGCCACTACAACTGCTAGCTCCCAACCATCTACTTTACCTGCTAGCTGGGTCTATGGAAGACAACTGTTACTGATAGCTACAGAAAATTCTTCTTACAATCCATTTCTACCTTGTAATTTCACATATCCTCCGCCTGTTGTCTGCACCACAGGTTTTCCAGTAAGTAAGCCGAGTTCTTGCTACCCGGCTCTGCAAGACAATTTTTATTCCCTGACGACTCTAATGTTTCGTGCCTAGGTACAGCAGCTATGTAGTACTGATTAAACATTTGTGCTTCTGCACATGGACTGAGAAAAAGATAGTTCACCATTCTCTAACTTTGCACATATGAATGCTTTCCAACCTCTGTCCTCCCCAAATGTTATTTGCAATTACAACTCCGGTAGGTCGCCTAGATGCTTTAACAGCAACGGTATTTTATTCTGCAGGAACAAAAAGGCCATCTAACAAATACGCTCATGATATGAATCCAAATCCTCAGGTAACAGCTGGGAAGCAGACACAACCTGAGAGTGAGGAACATTTATGTTCCTGTATAATGCCAGGACAAACCAGATTCCCAAAATTTGCCTTATTTTTGCATAGCAGAAATAGCAGGACTCTGTGTTCATTTTCATGTATTTATTCATTCAACAATGGAGAGGGGGAAAGGCAGAAGACTAAACACCTAAGACATGAAGATAAACTAAAATTATATAGGAGCACAATTTGAAAAGATAACAAAACAGCATTTTTAAAAATAATATCCACAGGCATCAGTAGCAAGAAACTGAGGGGGGAGAAAGGTATGTAAACTCACTAGCAAAGAACAAAAAGCCATACCTTCAATGAATAAATCTATAAGCCTGTTCTGATGACACATGTAGATTTAAATTCAAAGTATCTGAGACATTTATCTGTCAAAACAAACTGGAAATAAAAAAGTGAATAAATAGCCTCCAGAACCTTTCTCCCCCACCCACATCAATAACTAAACCTCATCACAGCAACTTTTTCTTTAGAGGTACCATCATAGACTTGTGATCAGCTGTTCCTGGGAGTACCACTTACCAGAGAGACCCACATGAGATAGCGGCAAGAAGTGGCATTCAAAATTTAGTCCTTGGATGATGCCTTTTTGGTCTCAGCAATCTTCAGCAAGCTGATACAGCCTGAATAGACATAGTAAAATGAGCTTTTCCAAATACTCTTTAACTCAAAGAGAAGGGCTGTCTTTCCATGTGTATTACCCTGATACGTCAGAAGGGAACTTAGCCAGGAAAGCCACTTCTAGTGGCAAAGGACAAAATAATTGAGAAGAGAAATAAGGACTAGTTGCCACCCTGTGGAATGAGAGTACATCTGCATTGTTAAAACCTTTTGCATTATACTCTGGATAGAAAGATAAGCAATGGGCCCTTTAAAATAGGCACTTCAAAAAAGAGAATGTTAAAAGATACCTAAGAAGAGTCTGGGTATTAAAGAAAGCACAACACAAGACCTGTGTTTTGTACATTTAAGTCATTATACTGCAGCAAGTGACCAAACTTAATGACTACAAAAGTAAGTGACAGAATTCCAACAACTGCTCTTCTTAGGAAAACTCCATTAACCCAGTCATTTAACACCACTGTGCTTCAGCACAAGGGTAAAAAGCTGACAAGTGTCATAATGAGGCGTTTTCCAATGTGTGTTTAATTCCAAACTACCCTCTGGTCATCAAATAAACTGAGCAGTATCAGAGATGGGAGACTGCACTACCTGAACCAATTGGGTTTGCATTGGCCTTTTCTCTGCTTTCCCTTTTCAGAAGTAGTAGCCTTCCTGCACTACAGTGGTTCCAGCCATCAGTTACCTTATTCTTGTGGTAAATACAGAATGGTCACAACAGCTGGCTTTTACAAAAATTAAGCTATTAAATGCTGCTTAATTCTATTTAATGCAATATATTCATCGCCCCAAATAAGCAAGCGATAGCAGCAATGTTATAATTTCCATTCAGTTGCTAGATTTCCCAACAGAGCCTAGGAAAAAGGAAAAAATTGGAAAAAAATCTGCGGTTTGGTTTTGGCTAAACTTACATCAGCACACTTACTATAAAACCAACATTGACTGTTGACAGTAGAGACCCTTTATGTTAGCTCTATACTGGCAGACATAAATACACTACATACAAGGCTTACCCACAAAAGCCCATTCCTACCTCCCTCAATAATAAGTTAATTTCTTATAACTCTTTAAATCATTACTAAATGTTTCATAGAATGCACTACATGCTCTTGGGATGGGGCACGTCAGGATAATCCACAACTCGTACTTGAAATTTAGCACCTGCCCAAAAGCACTGTGTTGGTTTACCAAATGCTGATCATATGATGGGAAAATAGAAACGAATATATTTTGTTCTTCTTGCTTTTCCCCCCAAAATCTGACATTCAAGAATCCCCGGGACTATTCTAGATTCTATTTCTCTTTCCTACAGAAACATCCTGGTATGTCCTGGATCCACCTTCAATCTGCAAGTCTCCATCTATGCTGTTGCAAAGAAAAGAATTTCTCAAATTAGAAAGAATCTCAAACTGTTACATTATGCTCTAACATCAGCTTTTCCACGTAAGAATGTCAAAATCCCACGGACCCGTATTATCCTGTATGGTTAACAAATATGAAAAGTCAAGTTCATTTTGTGAAATGTGTGCACCATTAATTAGGTCACTGACTTTAAGAAAACCCCAAAAAACCAACCAACCAAAAAACCAAGCAAATCTGTGTCTGTTCTTCAGAATGCTAACTCTCTGTTGCCATGGTCACAAATTACCATAGTAACATTAGATACATCTGTATTTTTAGATTAAAGCTGCTTCTCTTTTCAGAGAAAATAGAGCCAACTGAAAGAAAATACTCATCCTTACCAGGAAATACTACTAAAATCCAGAGTATAAAGTAGAGCAACGCACAACTGCAAAAGCTGGCGGGGGGAATAGGGCTGTGGAGAGGGGGGAATCACAAACATTGCCATTTTCAGAGCTGCTTCCTACAGCTAGAAAATGGCTTGAATGTGCCGCAAAAATTAAAAAGTGAGGACAGTTATTCTGTAATGCTATTGTCTCAGCAAGCCCCACTGGACAGTGGCTCAATTAGAATGCCCAGAATAGCCTTTTCCGTCAGAGGTTAACAGCAGTATTATTTCATATTTCTCCAGTAAGAGCCCCAGGTTGTTTTCCCCCTCACCCCCAAGGAGGACCTTCACTCATACCTAGGAAATATTGCTGTTCAACTGCCATAATTGAACTAACTGTTACTAGACCTGTCTCTGCTCTCTCATGCTCAGTGGTTTTATGTTATGCTTATACCCTCTAGTGGACAAAAAGTAATTCACAACCCTCCTAGTGCCGTACTGCCTTTAGATCAACACGGTGCTAACCGGGGACTTGGATGTTAAAATGCCGAGTCAAACTCGAGCATCTCTAATTTGTGATTCATTTCAGAAATAATCTAAGAGAGGAGTCAGAAATGACGAGTCCATTAATGCAGTGCTTTCCCAAATAAGGCAGCAACACAAACACAGAAAGTTTATATTCAATACTAGGTTTGACAATCAGGAAAATTTCTCTCCATTTTATAATTTTAGTCAATTTTTTTCTTTTTGGTAAGTTACTAAGCATTACTTTTGATAAAAACTTAGTTCCTTGGTATGTAAAACTTCATATGCTTGCCATCCAAACTAACTTTACTCCCAAACCTGCTACAAAGACCACGACTGAATGCCCTATCTTTGAAAGTCTGTACAGCAATGCATTTCCACTGCTGCCAGAAATGCTTTAGGGTTTTACATAGCCTCGACAGTTATATATTACAGAAGACTTGAGCTTTTGCTCCTTTAGTGTTCACTTATTTTTGCATTATTCCCATAAATGCTGCTTCTAACATTATCTGGTTAAATGCTGATAGAATGCTCTTGACCAAAGGGTCTGCTGTAAGCACATTTCAGCCAGAAACCACTGCAAGAAAAGGGAAATATGTCAAACTATGCTATTTGCAATAGATGCTTACATTCCACCTGGGAATCTAGCCTTAGGCCTTGTTGTACCATTTACACATATCAATGTAGGTCATAGGTTTAAATAACAAAAGAAAAAGCAAAATGACAGCTCTAATACAGTATATTTCACATCTCCAGTCAGTAAAATGGAAGCCAGCCCTTGCTTAATAAGAGTAAACATAAAAAACAGAACCAATTCGCAGAAGAACAGGAGCTCAGAAAGAGAGCGAGAAAGTAACAGATAGTTTGCAAGGGGCTTTAGGCAAAGATTTTAGGCGTATATAGCAATGACCTAAATTTACCTGCAAAGTTGCAAAAAAACCCCACCACAATTTGCCACTTTTCAATTTGTATTATTTTAATTCCTGTTATCATCTATAATAGAGCACTGGAAATTCTGACATTGAATTGTGGGATTCTGCAGATAACTGCATATGAGCATAGCTAAGTCCGGCATTTAGTTCACCCAAAAATGCAGGCTTTGGCAGGGAGCAGAGGGTAGAATTTCCCAGGCAAACATATCCTCTGAAGCTTCCTGCTAATGCTTCTCCAGCGTAACACATCTACAAAAGTGACGAGAGATACTTGATATTCATCTGGTCCTCCCTGCAGATCAGTTGCCTGCTGAGGTAAAACTTTATTGTTCTGAAAGGATGAAAGTTTGAAGAATCTCAATGTATGTAGCTCAAGCCCAGTTTGAAAGGGATTGGGAGGGGGCAGGGAGAAGCAAAGGGGGAAGGGAGGGAGGGAGACAGACAGAGACTGACCCCAAGCGAGAAATCAGGCTCAAAAAAGAAATCAAGCTCTCATCTGTACAATGCACAGTTTAAGTGTTGCTTGAGGCTCAGAAAGTTAGCAGTATTTAGTGGACAACTCTGTAAAATACACAGCTCATTTTCTACTCTAATGCTATCTATCTATCTCACAGGACAGGTTCTTAGCTGCTATGCAGTTATTGTGTCCATTTACTGTTAAAACCAACTGTTTCCACAATTAATCTGCATACCTCAAGATCTTTTTTGAGGCCTCTAGGCTTTTTAACAATACCTGTAAGGAACATTAAGAACGAGTTATGTTTATAGCGTCTTGCAACAGAGCCAAATTCTAGATGAAAAGTGATCAGGAAACATTTCTCCTCAGTAACACTGAAACACATTCCCATACAGCATATGCATTTCTGCACATATTATCAGCTCTTAAACATTAAACTCAACAGATTCCAGGCCAGAAATAGCACACAGGAACTGGCAGTGGGTGGCCCTGTACTGAATTGTGAGGTTGAACCAGATGACCCCCGGAGGCCCCTTCCAACTCTGACCTGAACCACTATGGTTCTACAAACTCATGTAACTCATGCAGTGCTTTCCTGGTTTTTCACATCTCTGGCTTTGCAAGACAACCCACAAAGCAGCACCAAAAGATGCTTCAGCCAGACAGCACATTACAAACTCCTAGTGGCTACAGCAAGAAAAGCTATAGTACAGACCAGTTACACAGAGGTGTCATTCAGCATCTGCCCAGCAAGCAGTAATGTGACAATACGTGTTGTCACATTAGAATACAACTTTTTTTTTTCCCCCAGATATCTCTCTTAGGGAGCAATTCACACTTTCCAGCATTATATGCAACTTTGGAAGACAGAAAGGAAACAGCTAAATTCAACAGCTGCTCTCAAACACACAATGACACTTCACAGTTAACTTGTGAGTCTCCCTAATACAATGCTATGCGTAGATCAGAGAACCAGCACAGTTCTCCATAGAGATCTTACTTTTCTCCTAAGGCACTAAAGTTCCTGCTGATTAAGATGGCACAGAACAAATAACCATTTCTGCAAAGTTGTGGTTCTCTAGAAATCTTGCTTTCTAAGGAAGTATTTTGTGAGGGAGTCATACTTCCAAGAGGGATGTATAAAAGAAAGCCCAGCACCGCAAAAGCACAATGAATGGAAATCAATTCACTAAAATGAGGAAAGGTGAAACTTCCCCAGAACAAGCTTTGCAATTTTAAGAACACCAGCACCCCTCTCTATATATACGCTCTACCTACTAAGGAAATCACTCTAGTCTAAAGGAAATCAGTCCCAAAAATGTAAAGCTGGAGAATCACAAACTCGATTTTAAAAAAGTAGGTAACAATGATGTTTAGGTAAAGTGTAAAGGTTTAAAACCTGACAGTTGTTTCCCCTGTATTTTCATATTTCTTACCCACCACGGAGGATTACTGCCAAACAAGAAAACATTTTTCCCTTTTATGCAACAAATCATTAAGTTTCTCACACAGGAAACCACATTTCAGTATTTTCTTTTCCAACAGCAAAACACTGACTCGTACTACCACACAGCATGAAAATAAAACATTTCTTTTCAAAAGGCAGTCATGGCTTCAACTATGTATGTCATGGTACAGGTATTTTAGGGTAACTTTTAGGCACACGAAGTTTGACACACACATACCACCCTCTTCAGCCCCCACCTTCAAGTATCATTTTCTGTTACTGCACTTCTCTCTATGGCCAGCCAGATTAGGAAAAGGCTCTGAACATTTACCAAACACAACAGGGTTCTACTGGTAGGTGAAGATTTAACCATTTGCTTAATTGCATGATGAAGCCCACAGATGATACTGAAGAGAAACTACATTCCAGCATTTCCTGTTGAAAACACCGAACAGCAGCTGATAAAAGCGTTTTATCAAAACAGCACATTCAGCGTTCTCATTAACAAGAGAATTTCTATGCAAGACAGTGCATCCAATGCAGAACTATATCTCGAAACTCACTAAGAGGTCACGTGGGCGGTGGTAGATCTGCAGTGGCTTTGATCAAGCAAAGCACAATCTAGCAGTCACATTCGTACTAGAAGAAAACAGTATCCATGCTAAAACATTGGTCTTGCTCTGGGTAAGTTCTGCTGCTTGACATCATCAGCTTCATATCACACACTAGATAGTCCCTGACTCTACTGTAGACACCCTCTTGCAACCAAAAGCCATTTCCCCTGTATAAACAAAAGTCAGAGTAAAATTGACCCATATTTACCCACAAGCTAACGACATCAAGCATCAATGCTAAGTAAAAGCTACTTAGCACAAGCCCCAGCTCAGGAAGACAAAGATTAATCCAAATACTAGAACTGAATCTTCAGAAATTCTTTCTGTGCTTCAAAGCAGAAAAGCCATGACAAATAAATGGATTCTAGAGAAGATTCTGGAAAGTCGCTCCATGGAAATCCAGTAATCGTAGACTACCACAGTGCATGCACAAGGAAAGGGCAAGAAGATCAGCACAAGGGAAGACTTGGCTTCCAAATCAAGTCCCTCACAATGATTTACATAAATAATTTGCTATGCACAATTTTAATTTTAAAAAAGTAAAAATCAAGAAACATGGTCATAGACATACTTGGTACATAAAGAACAATGGTTCTCTCTTGCTCAGTACAGTTAAAATCTAGGACAGAAATTCCTCACAACTGGATCTTCCACACAACCATGAAAGATTTTATCTGTTGTCCGGAGAGAGGAATTTAATTTGGAAACAGAAAGTAGTCCTGCTTCAGGACATGCATTTGCATGTGCTAGTAAGACATGAATATGAAGTTTTCTAATAAACTAAAAAAGAACAAAATAATTGGGGTTTTTTTATGAAATGCAGAACCAAATCAAGGATTTTCTACTGGCTTCTGGATAAGGGCTTGTGGATAATTTAGGACATATATTTCTGACAAGACGCAAGTTTCTAAGGTGGACTGTAAAGTTTAAATTTTTAAAATCTACAGAAAATAGTAAACCCAACTTAACTGGCTTCCTGAAATAACTGGTGAATTCAACAGCAAACAATCTGTCACCAAGACAATGGAAAACAATAAAAAAAATGCAGTCCTAATCTTCAACTTTATAAACTTTTGAAAGGCTATTCTCTAGGACAGAAATACTTGTGGAGCATTAGCTGCAGAATTGCTTTTATACCTTGTCAACAGCAAAATACTGGGCTCTGTGAAGAATTCACTGTAATTTCAGAAATGTGACAGCAAAAGTATGAGACGCAAACACCTGCATGTAGGAGCCAGGTTCCTTTGGTAACTAATTTCAGTAAAAATTAAGACCATCAAGTATTAATTCAGACACCCGTGTCTATAATGGTGCACCTTCATTATAGATCTTGGTAACAGGAACCCTACTCTTAAATTTTCATTGGCTCAGCTGGTACGTGTACAGGGGTCCTCCCCATAACAACGTTCAAGAGACTAGCATGGCTTGTCATTATGCAAATTTTTTTCTGCAGCACTACAATTTCCCTCCCACAATACATATTCTACATTCCTTGTCGTTTTCTGTCCCAAGCGTTAAGTATTTCTTGAGTCTCAGGACACCGATAAGCATGGCACATGTCAGACAGAAAATCTGTGCAAGGGCTGCAGCAGGATAAAGCAAGAGGACAGATTAATTAGTATTAACCAGTATTGTGCCCTAGTGCTTGCTTTTTATCCCCCATAAACGAAATCCTGAAGTTAGAGGAACACAACTGTTAATTCAACCAACTGTTTCAGTTCTCGTGTCCTGAGGATTGGCTCTCCTAAAGCTGACAAGTGAGGGCTTCTGAAATTCTCAAGTATGCCCACAGACTATTTTGAGACAGATTTTCCCCAGACATCTTCTAGAATAAAAGAATTTGTCTGAAGTAACAAGCAACACAATGACAATGAGTTCAACTGCTAAATGGCAAAGCGAGTATGTCTGCCATCGAACTGCATGAGACCCACCTCATTCTGATGCTCTCACAGGAGTCAAAGTGAGCATTAGAACCTGAAATAAAATTCAAGCAGTTTCAAAAAGAGCCAAAACTTAAGAGACGCTGAACTTTCCTTCTCAATAATAACTTCTACCTACTCTATCATATAATGTGCTTGTAATAGCACATTTCCTTTATCAGTTTTTCCAATTATCTCCCTTCCAGAAAAAATAAAATAAAAACCAATCTCCTCATCTTCCAGTATGAGTAGTGGGAATCTAGCATATACCTCCCATGAGCCAGTCCTTTATGTTCAAAAGCACTCGGCACACATCACTTCAGTCACTTTCTCAAAGGTGATGGACATATTAGGTACAGTCCATTCTTAAGGAACACAACTCACGGTGGGCACTTCTTAACAACACACAGCTGCAGGAGAATACCCAGAGCAAGATAAGACATTTTAGATAGCCACCCACCCTGCGGAACTCAAGTGTCTAGTATTTTTCCAGCTTCTGTGCAATGGATGTCTCTAACCCTAGTCAGTTTTCCCAGCAAAGATTCTCAACTAGAGTTATACAGTGGGAATTCCAAAGCAACTGGCTATGTACAGACATATCAGCATTCTCTCCAACAGAGAGATGAAAAGGAGAAAATTCCTGAGGATTTGTATCCTCTACTCTGCCTTCTGAATCCCAGCCTCCCCCTTGCCTTGGAAAGAGCTCTGTAAAGCAGTATCGGTTATGTACAAGAATCTCAGCTCCCTTCCTTTGGAGAGTTTCCCCACAAAAGCGAAAGGCAAATCCCAGGAGAGAGACAGGTGCTGAGAGGGGGAGGTCGCCTTAGGATGACTCGCCAGAAGCAAGAGAGCCAGCAGCTTTCTTCTTAGGGCGGGCTTTTACACTTCTCACTGGAAGCTGAGGAGAAATAAAAAGAGGCATCTTAGGCTAGTTTATTTTAACACCTAAATGTGTAACAGAAAGATGCAAGAATGGAGTAAAAACAGAATGAAAGAACTACAACATGACCCAACTGTCATCTGTTGTCTCAAAATGTCTATTTAACTTTTTTGGTTGTTTTTTTTTTTTTCAATAAACAAATCACTCAACATATCCATCAAATAGCAACCAAGAAAAGGTATTCTAAAACAAGGTACAGTAGTAAAATCAAAGCCAGTTATCCAAACAAAAGGTTAAACATAGATACTTCTGACTGGTAACATTCACATAACATATCACTGCTCTAACTTTTCTGCTTAACTTCCATCACCAGTGCAGTTCTCTGAAAGCTGTAGAAACATCCTGAACTAATTTGCACACTTCACTTCTGTGTCTTTCATTCTAGATATTGGTAAGAAGAGCACATTTATTAATCTATGATGCATTCAGCCCTGGCTGGCAATCTCTCAAAGACCTCCTATAAGCCCTGCATCTGACCCAAAGATCCAACAATCTGAGCATAAATACCAATACGCCTGCAAAGGGCTTTATCAGTACTTCTGTATTCACAACCAACAGCATAGAAGAGCTCTTTCTGTCTTTTTATAATTTCACTTTGAAAAGTCCTCACTAGGAAGCTTCCACTCAAATTTTGAGCCTCTTGTTTCCCTGCTCCTGTCTAATACAGAAGACAAGAAAGAAGAGGGGTCAACTCAGAAATAAGCCATAGAAAGATCCTAGATAAATTAAAATGCATCTTTGGACACAGATGTCCATTCTTGGAGAAAATCAAACGCCACCTGGACCTGGTCCTGGGAACTGGCTCTACACAAGCAGTGGGTTTGAACCAGGTGAATTCAGAGAACCCCTCCAACCTCAATTATTCTGTGATTCTATTACAAGGAGCGCTTAAGCACATGCAAAGGTTTCCCGTATACTGTAAAATTAGGTTAACAGTACAACTTAAAATCATGCCCTAAGCAATTACTTTCCTTCAAACTATTTAATATTTAGCCTGAATAGCTCGACAATGTGAATCAGTTATATAGCATTCTTTATCTTAGATAAAAATAATAACATTAGAAGTCCAAGTTGAATCAAGCAAATAGGACCGTAACTTCATAAAAAGGAAGAAGCATTTTACCATGTACAAATCAAACCATAAGAAACACTCAAGCAAGTGTCAAGACCTGGAAAGCATCACCTCAAAAAGCACTTTCTACAAAACACACCTGAAAACACTTGAAAAAAGATTGCTAAGCTCAAGTGATTCTTGGACACAACTGCATTTCCTTTCCTGTATGGTTTATTTTAATATTAAGAAATCAGGCATCTCATGTCCCATCTGAATGGCTGTAAATACCTTGGATCATCATGTGAACATAAGGAGATGACTGAGCAATCACTAGTTACTCAAACTTTGAGAACAAACTCCAGGAATGGGGTAGGTGGGGACTGGTGTAATTTCCCATACCTAATGTGTAAACGTCAAGGGAGGCCTAAGAGGGTACACAACTGCTGCATTTAGATTAAGAGAAAGTGGCTGCCCTAGGGATAAATGTTACTATTATGTATTCAGACTGTAGCAGATAGGAGAGAGGATATTGTCAACAAAACACGGTAAAAATATCCAATTCTCCACCCTTCAATACAAAACCCAAATGAAAGAAAAGCTGGGTTCTGGCTTATGACAGAGGCTTACAGGCATGATAAAAATGCAAAAGCTAGAGACAAGTATAGCAAGTACACGACAGGTCCTCTGATGTAGGACTCAACTAGAAAAGACAGTCTAACAAAATTTATACATACAGCTTTTAAATGCTGAGACTATAAAGCTAGAGCCTTCCACCCAAGTTCAAAAATCAATGTCAGTGCTGGAAATTATCTATACACCAACTCACTTCAGTTTTCATCACCTTTTTAGGAGTTTTGAGACTCTGGGTACGTTTAGGAAGTTTGTCTCCTGCATCTTCATCTGATGGGTCTGTTCTAGTATCTGACGGGGTTCCATTAGATCGATGTGCCACACTGCTCTCCTCTCCTGAGGAGTAACAGGAAGCTAAGGAACAAGAGCAAAAGTTTTAGCAAATACTCTTAAAAGAATCTCATGAGGTTTAAAATGGCCCATCCTCAAGGAACACGACAGAGAGCCCATCTAGAATAAAGACTGTGGGTTAAGTATGGGACAAGAATAGAGACGTATATGAAATGAGAAGGCTCTAGGGAAGACAGTGCAACTTCTCCCAGATAATTTACAATCTTGTAGTCCTTTCTGAGACCCAAGGCTTAGGGAAGCCTCCTGGCTCACAGTCTGAGGTCTCACACAATGGCCCAGCAGCTGCTCTGTACCTGAGTCTTCAATAGTCTCCAGAAGACTCGCAGCAGAGGGGTGCAGCTGTGGATCACGGCTTCGCATATGCACATTATCTTCATCTCGGATCAGAGTGAGATCCTGCATGCTGAAACTTCGAAGCTTCTCAGACAAAACTCCCTGGCCCTAAGAGGACATAAAATTAGGGTGAAAGGCACCTCATCAAGATCATCTCACATGGGATCATTCATTCAGAAGAGGAGCAAAGGTGCCCTATTCCCCACTAGGGTACTCTGAAAAAAACAGAGAAGGGAAAACAACAAGTAAGAGGTTAAAGCAAAATTCATTCCACTCCCCCTCTACTTTTTCTAAGTCAAAGGATGGGATTATCTGCAGGGCAAACTGGAAGGAAGGAAAAGTAGGTTGCTGCCAAACAAATATTAGTATCCCTAACAGACCCACAACACCTAACTGCTGGTACACAAAAATAAACTGCTGGAGAATTCATGAATATTACAGAAGGCACTGCATTACCTTTGCAGCTGCAGTAACTGCTGCATTGGCAGCAAGGTTTAACCCCCTCTTGCCAACTCGCATCATGGTTTCGTAGCTCTTGTCACAAGCCTGAGTAATGTATTCATCAATTTCCTAGGAATGCAACATGGAACATGGCATTTAGCTGCTTGTACAAACACGATCGAAGTTTCCCCATCATCCCCCTTAAAAACACAAAGCTCATCTGACACTTTTTTTCAGGCTACTAGCATCAGGTGTCATTGATCACATAACTTGAGTTTCTCTGCTAATTACAGAAAGCATGTAAATGCAGCTTTAAAATACAGTATGCTATTTCCAAATTATAACAACTGAAACAAAGCAGTTGCTTATACCAACAATGTGAAAAAAACAGACTGGCCACAGAATATGCTTCTCCTATTGTAATTCAAAAGGTTTAACTACTGACAGTGACTGTAAGGGCTCATGACACTGGGTTAGCCAAACATGCTTTCTAAGCATTAGGCAAACTATTGGCTACACTGCAATCTTCAGTAAGCTGCAGTATGACATCACTGTCAGACACAGAATCATTCTACGTTCACTAAGGTCAGCACAAGCAAGATTCACTGATTTCAGTTTTTATTGTGGCATAACTGAATCAGAAGTCAGTCAGTTCCCGGACAGGTCAGTATCTTCAAGCAACAAGCAAGTACCTTCTCCTTATTGGAGAGCGTTGGGTGCACAAACTTCCTGTAGAGGACACTGGAGCCCTTGGTGTAAGGGGAGAGCAGCCAAATCACAAATGCAATTTTCAGCTCGAAATAAAAGGGAAACCTGAGAGAAAGAGGAAAGAAAAAAAAAAAAAGGAAGAAGAAAGAGAAAGATGGAGAACTGGAATCAAGATCAGCACAGATGGAGATAATTAGCAGAGAGCAGCACAGGCAGAAAGAGTGTAGGCAAGGTAAAGGCTCAGAAACAAGAGAATCGATTGTTCAGGTCAGAAAAGCAGAACCCTTTTTAGAATCCTAGGACATACCTTCTTCGAGTATCATTTAGTCTTTCATCCATAGCCATGAAAACTCCATAAACAGGGCATCTCTCAGCCCTGCAAACACACCAAATTACAATCTGATAGCTACTCTCATCATTCTGAAGTTTCTTCAGAGAGCATCCACAGGATGTTAATATCACATTAGCTTCCCTTCTCAATTTCCAAAACTTTCAACTATGTATCTTAGTAATGTCACATTTCTGCTAGAGCTGATGGCTGTTTCTGAAACTTCCAACAGATACTCCTCAGATAAGACACATAAGCAGGGCCAGTGTAAACAAAAATGAGCAGGCAGAACGTATGTCTGTCCTCTCTAACCCATACCCAATAAAGTCTGAGAAGATCCAATTGCAGAGATTGAAACAAGTGAATGCAAATTCTCTACCAACACAATTAGCAGGAAGAAACTTCTGTTTTCAGAAGTCCTTTAAGTGAATAAGCTGTTCTTATACTTTTTCGAGCTTTGTCTACTTTTCAGATTTTATGTAGGTAGAAACAAAGCTGCTGAGCACTTTTGTAAGGCATGTATAGTACTTCATGATTTGTAAGAAGACGAAAGTCTTGACTAACATTGTTTCAGAGACATATGCAAAGCTCAAAGATTAAAGCCATGAAGCAACTGAAGACACCCTGTTTCAAAGGTTCAGTTGAAGCCCTGTAACAATGAATTGTCATTTTTGGAGACCTCCATATTGCCAAGCATGACACAGAGCACTGAATGGAGTAAGAATCTGCTTCCTTCTATTCCAGTCTGTCCTGCCCTTCCTAGTGGAAGCGAAGTTCATCATGCAAACCAATCACAGCACCGACATGCATGTGACCTGTTCTTCCACATAAAAGGCTGTCAAAGCAAAATAAGTTCCTTCCTTCTACCATTTTTAAGGTGTTTTTTAGACTATCGTTTTTCAAACTGTACCAGTTCACATTAACAGCTTCTCAAAAATATTTCCAGTTATGAATGGATGAAGATCCTTTTACAGATACCATGCATTTACCCGAACTTTGCAAACAAAGGAGTTGAAACAGCTAAGATGGCAGCTACTACCCACAGTATCGCGAAACCTGCTAATTCTTCACAGGGATTGAAAACTCCTAAAGGAGACAGTTTATTTTCTTAGCATCCTTACACTTCTCCTCTCTGCTTAAAAAAAGGCAAAAACCCAAACCAAAGACACAGCAATAACAAAAACCCCCCCCACAACATGCCACTAAGGAACTCACCAAGAAAGAACAATGTCTGTAAGTGTTTCTGCAGTGGTGAAAAAGGCAAACACAATCCAGTACATCATCCACTTCACCTGCAAAAGAGCAGTCATTCAACGGACATACATCAGAACCAGAAAGAAAAGTAAAATGTCTTCTCAGTATAAATGACTCATCTCCACACATTAAGATGGATTCAAAAAGAAGGCATATATAATCTGTAATGGACACATACTAAACAGTACATTTTGGTCTGAGAAAACATGTAGGATTACTGTGCTCTAAATAAACACATACAGATACATTGATGAATGCATGCCCTGGAGCAACATTATGGTGCAACAGCATTAAGGTCCCAAATGACCCATCCAAAAGGATTTATCTGTTCACTTCAAGAAGTTACACTCTTCCATATATCATGAACACCATAAAAAAAAAATATACACATACATATGTAAAAGCTTAAGTTTCAGCTGCAGCCCCGTATTTTCCTGATGTAACATTTTTCCTTAGGAAAAAAGAAAAACAACAAACCAAGAAACATATTTTGTGCCAACTCACTAGTAAGCATTCTTTGCTTTAATAATTACTCCCAGAAATCACACAAGCAATTAATTTTTCTTTTTAAATAAAGGCTCACTGAGAGACGTAAAAAAGCAAAGAACACGCCACATCAACCTAATCTTCTTGTTTAAGGTTTAGAGTAGATGTATGTACTGTTATGACACATTTGGATGCCTTTTATGTACCCCTCTACTTCCTCACACCTTTATCTGGGACAGTACGTCTTTCAAAGCACAAAATAATTCCCCCCCTTAATAAACACAGATGCACTCTGCTGTTTTGGTAACTGGTTTCTCAGCTACAAGCCAAGAATTCATTCAGCTTACCCCTCAAGAGGGGTCAGCTGAATTATAAGGGAAAATTGCTAGTTTTCTACCCTGTTGAGAATTTTAAAAGAGCATGAGTAGCAGATAAATGAAGAGGACACCTCAATTAAAAAAAAATTTAACACTCTCAGTGTCATCAAGAATGAGAAAAAAGAACTAAACAGAATCAGGGAAATGCCACATACTAAATCTACACATTAATCAATCTATTAAAATTACATGAACAATTATGTTCATACAATAAAGACATGTTGACAATCCTTGTTACAACAAATACTATAAAAGCAGGTATTTCCCCAACCTTGCATGTGTTGGAAAATTTGGTGGTTTGTTCTGGAAAGACCCTCCACATGTTTCTCATAAAAGAAAATTAATCTGCCTCCAGCTGCTCTAACACAGTCAATGGTTTAGAAGATAGTGGTTAATAATCCAAATTATTTCCACTGTACTGCAAACTCTCTCTTTCACAACAGAAAATAGCATAAACTTGTATTGTATGGCTCTCTCCTGCCTTTTTTTTTTTTTTTTCTTGTATCATCAGTTTGGACAAGACCAGATGTCATTCAGCTGATCTAAAGCAACTTTTCAAAAAGAAAGATTAAGTCCTCGGTGCAGCAATGTGAATCAGCTCTTGTATGAAGAAGTGTGTGAATAATGATAAATCTAAGTTTGCAGAAAGGGATCCAAAAGGGTGAGAGATTTCAGAAAACCTATACACCAGTAAATCTTACTTCAGCATTAGGCAAAATGAAGGCAATAATAGTAATAAAAGCAATTAACAAATACCTACATATATGTACGAAAACGAAGATTTTTTAGAAAAAAAAAAAAAAATTCACAAGTATAGCAGAACTCTTAGGTTTCCATAAGACTCTGCTAGCTACAGTGCTTTCCTTACAGGGCAAGGGTATATGAAGTTTCTAAATAGTTTCTAACAGGTCTATACAAACACTTAAAGAAACAAAATCGTCAGGGGTAAAAATGAAGGGACTATTGAGCATTAACAATTGGTTAAAAAAAAAAGGAAACAAAGGATAAAAGTAAATGGCCACTTTTCACAATGAGGAAAGTTACCAGTGGAATCCCACAGGAATCAGTGTTGAGATCTGTGCTGCTCATCTTCATGAAACATCTGGAAAAGGTTGTGAATAATAAGATGACAAACTGTGCAGAAGATTTTTCTATCCAAGAGATTAGGTAGGAGTTGATTAAAGAATTCAAAAAAGGATCCTGATTGATCTCTGGCTGACATTTTGTCTCTAAATGGGATTAAATACAAAGCAGTGAACTTACATGTCTCCATTTTCTTAGTGAAAACTATTTCATTTACATATATTAGTAGATGTCACTCAAAAGGGGTCACTGTAGGCAGCCTTAGTGTAAGCTTGGTGCTTATTTTTCACTCTGCTAACAGAATGCTCAGGAGTATGAACTGAGAACAGAAAACTTTGTTTTGTTACTGTTTAAATAAACTTCATGTTCACATCTTTGATATTGGACACAGGTCTCTTGCCTCTGTCTCCTTCTGGCACCTGTCACCCTATGCTCTAAAGCCAAAGAAAACAAGAAGTATAGCTCCTAAACAAACTAGAAGGATCCTGCTCCTAGTTTTAGAAGTCCCTGCAGATGACCTGAAAGAGCAGAAAACAGATGGGAAGAAGCCCTCTTTTTTTTCTTACGACAGAGTACAAACACCTTCCAAAACTGTGGGTTGAATGAGGCTGCATTTTTTTTTCAGTTTACTAAGAGGAGTCAGGAGTCATTTGCTGCTCACCCTGACGATGACCAGCTTCAGGCACATATACAGTCTCCCCAGCTTGCACCAAGAACCTAAACGAATTCAGCACACACAAAAGCGTAACTGGAACGTAGACTTGACCAATGCTGAAGACGACATGTAAAAAGAAAGAAATTGCTTTTAGGACAATCTGAGCTACTAGAAGTAGTTTGCCACAACTGCTCAAGCATTTATCCTGAATTTTTATCATGGTGGTAGAGAACAGTAAATTTGCACTGCGCTCTGATGTCACTGACAAACTGTTTGTGGTAGCTTTGTCTGTGTCAAGTCAAGCTTCAATACACCACTTTAGCAGAGATACACCTCAAAGACCTTTCTCCACCACCAAACCCTAACCAGTTCGTAAGCACTATGAGCAAGCAGTAGTACATAAAAGAGCTAGACTTGAAAATGGGCAGTACAGCATTCAAGTTTTCTGCTGACTTTTCACATGAAGAACAGTTTGAACAGATATTGCCCCTTCTGCTATGTTTTCTCCTGTATTTCCACTTGCGTTGAAAAGGAAGAAGTGTTTCAAATGTAAGTGAATTAGACAGATGGCAGTCCAACATCTAACTGCTTATTTCTGATGCCGTCCTCTCAAGGAAAAATAATTAATTATGTAAGTTTTAGCAGTTCAAATACATTTTCTTGAACCACTCTGCTGCAGCAATCCAGACTAACTACTTCAGGAAACCTACACCACTGAATCACTAAACAAAACCCAAAAAATTAATGCCATACTTTTCCACATCATAGGTCCTGTCTCAAGTGATCCACTTAGAACATCACTTCTGTAAGAAGGCAACACACTACCTCACAAAAAAACATCTGATGTTGTAAATATGGTAATTGCAGCAAGGGTGTAGAGAGGGAAACAGTTCCAGAAGGGAAGGAGAATGAAGTTTTAACCAACATAAAACACGGATCGCAAGCAAAGTGGATAGGAAGCCACAAACCGAGCAGGATTATTCAACCCTTTGGAAGAAAACAAAAGTAGTACTGAAAAAGCAGTAAAGGACACAAGAAGGAAGGTTAAAGTCACAAGAAAGAACTTGTCCTGGACTTTCATATGCTTCCAGACTGCAGTGTTTCCCCCACTTTCCCTTCGTCACTCAGCATCGCTGAGAAAATACAGCCCACATTTACGGGTTGAAACCTCCCATTTCAGTAAGCAGCCATCCTTGGCAGCTTTTCCAGAGACGACTGGAGCTGCTGCTCGGGCGGCCTGGCTGACCCGAGCCCCTGCGGAGCCGGAGTGCCAACGGGGGCTTGCGACGCGGCCGCGAAGGACGAGGCGGGCCCTGCGCGGCACGGTGAGCCCGTACTCACATATTCCTTAACGTTTTTCGTCTTCACGGCCTTGTAGGAGGAGTACGCGGGGTAGAGGGTGCCGAAGATCAGCCTACGAGAAGAACAGACCCCTCAGCGCCTCGCGACGCACCGCACCGTCCCCGGCCGCAGTGGATCCTCCCGGGATGCCGGTGCGACGCTGGTCTCCGGGCGGGGCTCGGCCGCCCTCACCTCGGCACCGCCCGTGGGCCGCAGCAGCCCGCGCGAACCCGTCCGTCTGCGGCCGCAGCCACCCGCGAGGGCGCCCGCCCCCCAGCCGCCCCTTCCCGCGCGTGGGGTCCCGGGGGGCAGCACCGACGCCACCGCCAGAGCCCCGCTCTGGGCCGCGGCCCCCGAGGGACCACCGAGGAAGGGCCCCGCGCGGCGGCCCACACCTCCCAGCGCCCCGGCCACACGCACTCACACCACGAGGCGGGAGATTATCCAGGAGACCATGGCGGCACCGGGCGCGGCTCAGGGCTGAGCAGCGGCGGGAGGCGGCTCTTAAAGGACAGGTTCCTGCAGCAAGCGCAGCTCCGCCCCGTGTGCTCGCATGGGAGGAGCCGGCGCGGCGGAGGGAGAGGCCGCAAGGCCCCGAGCATCCAGCCGCGCTGCGGAACCCCGCGAGTCGCGCTGCCCGCCGCCCGCTGCGGGAAAGCCCCGCGTTCGCTCGCACCAGGTCGGGAGGTGCGGCGGGAACCCGGGAACGGAGCCACGCCAGCGGAACGGCAGCAGCGAGGTAGACAAGTGGCATTGCTGGAACGATCGCAGAGAAGCAACATGCGCAACGCAAGGAAAATTACAGGAGAGTGCTGAATTGAGATCACGGGCACTTGGGAGGACAGAGTAAGAGACACCACAGAAGAAGCCATCTTCTCTCCAGTTGCCTCTTCCAGGGAAATCAAGACAACAGCTATTACATGCTGCAAACAGGGTAGTTAAGTGTAAAAAGCATTTCAGGCTTCCTCGGCTCGGAGTTTCACCCAAAACCGGATGCAAAACAAAACTCAACTAGCCGATACTGACGTTTGCATTATCAAACCAGAAGAATAAAGGCTGTTACTTGTAGTTTCCAGGTAATTTCAGTGTTGCCAGATACCTTCTCGAAAGCTGAGAGGTCAAGGATTCCTTTGTTAACTATACAAACAAGGCTGAACAGTGCATGTGTTGGAATATCCTTAGTGCAGGGTGGGAAATGTGCATAAATGTGTATACTTGAGCATACTGGAGTACTGGAAACGGTTGTATTTTAACAGCTCACCAAGGAATACTGTTAAAAGAATCTTCCTCCTCAGTCAAAGCCAGAGCTTATTGCTGGGTCCCTGGGAGCCTGTATGTATATTTCAGTCATGGATTGAGTAGGCCCTGTACAGAGATCTCTGAATCACACTGACATAACCATTACACAAGTTGGTTTTTAATGAAAAAAAAAAAAAAACCAAAAAAACAAACTAGAAATCTACCATGGTTCTTCAGCTGACAAAAAAAAAACAAACAAAAAAACCAACAAACAAACAAAAAAACCCCACCAAAAAACCCCAGCACTAAAAACCAAAAAAACCAAATCCAAAAAAAAAACCCCAAAAAATGCCCCCAAAAAACCCAAACAAACAAACAAAACAAAACCCAAAGGAAGGCACTACGGCAAAGTCTCATTAGTTGCCGATGTTTGCTGAACAGCCTTTATGAAAAGGAATGAGACCAAGGAAAGAATCATAACAAAAACAAAGAGCTCTTTGGGAAGAATTTTCTCATGAATGCATGAAATTCAGTATAATGAGCAATGATGACAAATACAAAACATTGACAACTTTCCATTACATGCAAGAGATGAAAACAAAAATGTCCCTACAGACAGTGACAAAGAACATTTTGTCATAGTCTGCTTTTGAATATGAATGGCCACAAAATGATTGCAGTAAAGGACTGCACAATTAACACCACTGATGGCAAAACTGACCTGCTAACAGGATAAAAGGAATCTGCTTTCACAAGTCCAAATAACACGCAAAACCTTCAACAAAATTACTACATTTCTAACTACATCAGTTTCCTATCGGTGACCCACACAGCAACAGGTCTGTTACTTGAGTAATTTGTTCATGCTTGGGTGAGTGGAAGATGCAAACAGAAGAGGGAAAATGCAGAGATCTGGTGAGTAACACATATGACTGTGTGAGAGTGCTAAATAACTGCAGCATGGGTAAGTTACACCTAAATAAAATGTGCCTTAGTGTTTTAAGCTATTTAATGTGCCAAGGGGCAGTATGAAAATTTACAGTGCATTAGACACAAATGGTGGTAACAACAACAGAATCTCAACATTAGTAGAGAAGGTGGTGTTGTAAATGTAGTGCCAGCTCACTGCTAAGTATCATGTTAAACTTTAGAACAACTTCAGAAAACGTATTTTAAGCTAGCAATTTACATTTAGCAATAAATGTTCAATTTTTTCCATATAATAAAAAAAAAATGAAAGATTAATTAATTAACTTACCTTTCCACAAGAAGAAACTACTGGTAGTTTATGGGCTATTTTTGCAACAAAATTCAGCTGCAGGTTAAGTGAAAATAAAAATATTTATTAGCAATATTCTTTTTATTAAGTTATTACTAATATTGTATAATGCTGTGTAATTAAGACCAGGAAAGCAATTCATCACTTGTTTTCAAATTAAGGCTATATGGGTTTTTTTGCAGATAAGCTACTGCTGAAACAACTCATGATAAACTTGTGTTCTACAAATAGTCCAAATAGGTCACCAAATACCTATCAATCTGCTATAGCTAAACAATAAAGCATGGAAATCAAATTAGCTGTTCCTAGAATAGAGCAGCTTAAGCAAAGCTACATTAAGAAAAATGCCAGGTCAGATTCAGAGATCCTGCTGAAGCTGAGGTTTAGGCAAAAGCTGCTATGACGAAGAAGAAAGAGCAATGCAGGGCTCAAGAATATAGGATTCCCTCTGGAAAAGTTTAGCAGACTAAATATGGGTCTTAGAAATACAGGTGAAATGGAAGAGCACAATGGGAATCCTCTCTGAAGCACAAAAGTGCAGATTGTAGTGGAAGAGTACCAAAAGTTGAAAGAAGTAAGGAGAGCAGAAAAAATGCAAGCTGACAGCCAAAAATTACACTGTAAGAGCTGGAAATTGTTCTGAGAACACTTCTTCAACAGTTTTGCTTTGTGACTGAAAGCTGTTCTCTTAGAAGATATCTTCCTAGAGGAAACAGCTGTATTTTATTGTATCTAGCTCTTGAAACTTATATTACCATTTTCCTATTAGACTATATAAAGGCAGAGATAAATAAAAAGCTCCACTGCAAGGCAGGGGAATGAGGGAGATAAGAGAAAAGTAAGATGATTTCTGCCTGGTTGTTTTTCAAATGCCTGGTGGGAACATGCAGCTCTTTTTCAAAAGTTGAGAACAGGAATCTTTAAGACACTGCCAACTGAGAGGAAAGAAGCTGTGGGCTGATTTTAGATTCTGAGATGCACTGGAACATACTAACCACAAACAGGCTTGCTTCATCTCATCTGTAGTTACAGAGGACATTGGCTAAAAGACACATTAGTGTTTAAAGCCCATATTCAAAAATTGGTGCTGCCCACTGTCTCATGCACCTCCATTTAGTAATAGCAAGAGAGCATTAGGGAGAACAAGTGTGATGACTGCAGCAAACTATATTAAGTCATGTAACTCAAGTTTTTATTCTCCGTCTGCTAAAACCCCTATGATTTATGATGTCTGCTTTAATCTGCTTACATTCTATGTAACACATCAGCTGCCCCTTAAAATCTTGACCTAGAAAATACTGTGATAAAAACTAGTGATTTTATATCTTAAGTCAATTTTACAACCACTTTAGCTGGCTACTTGTGGTATAAGCTCTGTGTGACATATGTCAGAACAATCTGCTGATCTTTAAGATCTCTTCCAACATAGCCCATTTTACGATTCTATGTTATTTCTTAATTTTAGTAATCCCTCTGATTTTGGCTGACTATTGCTTCAGGTTGATTGTACTCCATGATTAGTAAAAAAGGAAATTCAAGAGACAGAAGCAGTACTCGATAGACTCAAACTAAACAAAGGTTTAGAATGAGATGCAAAATTCTCATTGTAGATCACTGCATTCAAAATTACTCATGCTACTGTATTAGATATAGCCAAGTCTCTGCCTTTTTGATCTTTATCCAATTCTAATGCTGATACTCACATACACATACAAATGAGGGAAATAGCTATAATAATCTCTATGCACAGAGTACAACAGATGTGCACAAGAAATTGTACATAACAGAATACAGTGAAGCTCAATGGTCTGGAATAACCCTTTTTATCTCTAGCAGGTAAATTAGCCCATATTCACAGGACAGCTGAAAGAGTATGAGGCAGCAAAAGCCTGTGACTGGACTTTGCATCTAATAACCAAACTGAGAAGCTGCTAGAACGCCACATGTCAGTGAACAGAACTGCTGCTGCCATCACAACCTCCAAGGTCCAAAACCACAAAACTTTTACCCCATCCATATCTCCAGTGGAGAGGGCATCTCTGGACCTGCTAGGAAGGTAGAGACGGGAAGCATAGTAAAAGAGATGTTTTTTATGACAAGACAAATCCTCTACCCAAACTACCTTGAAGAATTAAGAATTAGCAGGCAGCTTGGTGTGCTCCCAGCACATACTTGGGATGCCAGGCTAAACCACATGAGCCTTCTGGTCAAACACAGCAGGTCAAAATTAGCAGGCAGCCTACACTACCAGGGGCAGAAGCTGAGACAGCCTCAAGGCAGGAAGATCAGTGTACAGGTATGAAGAAAACTGCCCAGGCTGTTACAGTAAATGACTTTTATTTTTTAAAAAATGAAATAACCGTGAACATATTAACAGGCCTGCAAGTGGCACTACAGTACAGCTGGAGATAAGGTCAATACATTTCCCCATGTACCCGGACAATGAAATCCATTGCATCAATGCTGACATTAGTAAATTCTGAATACAGTTCTATCAAGCAGGAACATTTTACTTAAAATAGTTCTGGACAAAGTTGACACCAAAAGTTAACATTTCCTTCACTTTGGAAAGGATATATGTTTTATAGATGTTTTCAGGTAGCACTGGTATTGGGTGAATATTGCCTGCAGTCACCAGTGCAGGGAGAGATGTACAACATCTCCTTGTGAGAACAGAGTTTATACTCCTTTTTACTTTTCATTCTGAGGAAGCAGGGTGGCATAGAGAGAGGGGAGAAGATAGGTGAGGTAATATGGGCAAGGGAGGTGGGATGTCAATTTCTGTTCAATTCTCCTTTGGCTGTTTTTGTGCTATTTTGGACTGCTTTCTAAAAATCACTTCTTGATTTTATTGAAAGGA